TAGAACTATAAAATCACCCAAAATCAGTAAATCACTTACAACAGGTGAACTTTATGACAGGTAGATTATACCTCAGTAAAGCTGTTAAAACAAAACCAGTGTTAAGGGAGGAAATAAATGCTACCTTGGTAATACTGAGGACTCAGTGGTTATCAAGGCAGCTCTCTTCCCTGCCCTGATAAGGCTTTCTGTGCAGGGCAGGGAAGCTGACCCATTGTAGACAGTGACAGCCTAGAGCCATCGCGGCGGGAACAGGCAGAGAGGTGGGAGGCCAGGATGGGGGAAGCTCGGGCAGAGAGGTTGGCCTGAAATGGGGGGCACAGGCAGAGGGGTCGGGGCAGTGACTGGGGAGGTGCAGGTGGAGGGCAAAGGGGTCAGGGTCCAGATGGGAGAGACACAGGCAGACGGATCCGGGCCAGGGCAGGGAGATACAGGCCGAGTTGAGGAGCATAAGGAACATAGGATCCCAAAGAAGGCGCCCGACCAGTCAGGGAGGAATTGCCAGAGGGGGAACGGCTGAGCCAGGGCCTGAAGTATAATGTTCATGAATGCGACAGCAATTTTTCTTTTTCTTTTTCTTTTTTTTTTTTTTGGGGGGGACACCAAGTCTCCCTCTATCACTGGAGTGCAGTGGCTCGATTTTGGCTCCCTGCAACTTCCACCTCCGGGGTTCAAGCGATTCTCCTGCCTCAGCCTCCCAAGTAGCTGGGACTACAGGCGCCCGCCACCACGCCTGGCTAATTTTTGCATTTTTAGACGAGACGGGGTTTCGCCATGTTGGCTAGGCTGGTCTTGAACCGCTGACCTCAGGTGATGCACCTGCCTCGGCCTCCCAGACTGCTGGGATTACAGGCATGAGCCACCGCGCCCAGCCCAATTTGAATTTTTCTTCAACACTTTTCCTGCCTTAGCAAAGCCTTGGCGGGGCTGCCGCCCAGGCGCCGCGAGCGCAGGGCCACGAGGGGGCGCTGCTCCACCACGCTAGGGGAACGTCCCCGGCAACCACGTGGCCCCGCAGGTGCGGGAGGTCGGCCAGCGCGCCGCGAGGGTGGATGGGGTCGGTTACAGCCAGGGAGCCCGGGGTGGCGCGTGGCCCTGCGCAGGTCAGTGGAAGCGGCGGGCCCCAGGGAGTATGAGACGCTGCGCTCCGTGGGGTGGTCCCAGCGCTGTGCAGCGAGGGGCCAGGGCTGTCCTCGGTCCCGCGCGGGCGGCTCCCGGAGACACTGCGGTCTCCAGGGGGCGGAGCTTTAAAAAAAAAAAAACAAACCAACAGGAAGCGTGGTGGGGGCACCCGGCCCTGTCACCCGTGGAATGCATCAAAATAGCCCGCGCGGCCGAGGGCGGTTCCGGGAGAGGGGGCGGCCGCGCGGGGCGGGGCTTCAGCGGGGGGCGGAGCTTCCCAAAGAACGGAATAGAGGAGTGCAGAACCGGCCCCAGGGGGGCGTCCTCCTGTTCCCCCAAAATGACCTAGATAGGCGTTTATGTGGGATGGGGTTCCCGGCTAGGGCCGGGCTTTCAGTGCGGTGTCCTGGTCTATTCTGAGCGGGCCGAAACCTGGGGAAGTGGGAGTGGGCGGTTGATCCGGGTTCCAGGGCCTCTTTGGAGCGAAAAGCTCCATGGAGAGCCAGAATCTCCAGCCTGCGCGTGGGAGGGAAGATGGGAAATGGGCCAAGAGGAGCCTGTGGGAGGTCCTCCCCGGGACGGCCCCCTTCCATCTACATCCGCGGGGACCGTTGTGGGGGCAGCTCTGAGAAAGGCTGATCTGGGCGCAGGGAAGGATGGTTGAATGAAGAGATCAGTCAGGGACGGGGTGGGGGTGCCTTGACTGTGTCCCAGATTTGCGGCGTGCTTCTGACCTCAGTTCCCCATCCTTCCAGTTGCTCAAATCCTCTCTGTTCCAGTCCTAGGCCATTTCTGCCCCTCTCACTTCCTAGTGGTTTGCAGAGGGGAACCACTAAGGCTGCCTCTTCTGTGCCTGGCCCTGTGTTGGCACGGGGAAGTGACTGAGACACCCCAGACCCCCTTCTCCCTCACAGACCAGTGAGGCAGATAGACCTGACACCAGTAGTGACAGCCCGAATGCGTCATTGAGAGGACGGGGGCGGGGTGGGAGGGAGGCACAGGCAGATGGGTCAGGGCTGGGATAGGGGAGGACAGGAGCCTGTAGGATCCAAGGGGAGAGTGGGTACTGCTGATTCAGTCTGCGGGGGTTGAAGAGCTGTCTAAACTTAGACCAAAAAGATAGGATGGGGCCCGGACACCTGGCTCCTGCCTGTAATCCCAGCACTTCGGGAGGCAGAGACAGGAGGATCACTTGAGGCCAGGAGTTCCGGACCAGATTGGACAACATAGTGAGACCCGCATCTCTACAAAATAATTTAAAAATCAGTTGGGCATAGTGGTGCAGGCCTGTAGTCCCAGCTACTCAGGAGGCTGAGGTGGGAAGATTGGTTGAGCCCAGGAATTCAAGGCTGCAATGAGCTATGATTGCCCCACCGCACTCCAGCCTGGGTGATAGAGTGAGACCCCTGTCTTTAAAATAATAATAGCAAAAATACTGGGCTGGGTGCAGTGGCTCACGCCTGTAATCCAACACTTTGGGAAGCCGAGGTGGGCAAATCACTGAGGTCAGGAGTTCCAGACCAGCCTGGCCAACATGGTGAAACCCAGTCTCCACTAAAAATACAAAAATTAGCTGGGTGTGGTGGCAGGCGCCTGTAGTTCCAGCTGCTTGGGAGGCTGAGGCAGGAGAATCGCCTGAGCCCAGGAGGTGGAGGCTGCAATGAGATCACACCACTGCATCCAGCCCGGGTGACAAGAGTGAGACTCCGTCTCAAAAAATAAATAAATCCTTCACGCCTGTAATCCCAGCACTTTGGGAGACCGAGACGGGCAGATCACGAGGTCAGGAGAGCGAGACCATCCTGGCTAACACAGTGAAACCCCGTCTCTACTAAAAATACAAAACAAAAAAATTAGCCGGGTGTGGTGGCGGGCGCCTGTAGTCCCAGCTACACAGGAGGCTGAGGCGGGAGAATGGCGTGAACCCGGGAGGCGGAGCTTGCAGTGAGCCTAGATCGTGCCACTGCACTCCAGCCTGGGCGACAGAGCGAGACTCCGGCTCAAAAATAAATAAATAAATAAATAAAAATTTAAAAAAAATCCTAATGAAAGGATAGAATGGGGCTCAGGGCCTTGGAAGAGGGTCAGCTTCTAACAAGAGGTATTTGAACTGAGTCCTAAAGCATCAGTAGCATTCCTCTGGGAAGTGCTGTCACCCTGAAGGAAAGGGTGTTCTAGGCAGAGAGAATGACAAATGCAAAAGCTTGGAGGTGAGAGTGTGGCTCATCTCTGGCAGGGTCCTCTACTCCCTGCCCGGGGAATTCCCCCAACATCATACCCTGACAGAGCTGCCTTAGGTCTCCTAGTCCTGGAGTCCACAACAGGTTAATGGGCTGTAATGGAAACGCTATAGAGGGCAGGCCCTAGGCTTGTTCCCTCACAGCCTGATGCTTTTTTGTTTGTTCTGAGACAGTCTCGCTCTGTTGCCCAGGCTGGTGTGCAGTGGTGTGATCTTGGCTCACTGCAACCTTGGCCTCCCGGGTTCAAGCGATTCTCCTGCCTTAGCTTCCCAAGTAGCTGAGATGACAGGCACCCACAACCATGCCTGGCTAATTTTTGTATTTTTAGTACAGACGGAGTTTCACCATGTTGGCCAGGCTAGTCTCTAACTCCCAACCTCAGGTAATCCACCTGCCTTAGCCTTCCAAAGTACTGGGATTAAAGGCATGAGCCACCACGCCCAGCCTTTTGTTTTGTTTGCTTTTTTAGACAGGGTCTCATGCTCACGCTGTCACCCAGGCTGGAGTGCAGTGACTGCATCACAGACCACTGCAGCCTGGACCTCCCAGGTTCAAGCAATCCTCCCATCTCAACCTCTCAAGTAGCTGGGACTACAGGCGTGTGCCACCACGCCCACCTAATTTTAAAATTACTTTGTAGAGACAGTCTCATTACGTTGCCCAGGCTGGCCTTGAACTCCTGGGCTCAAGCGATCCTCCCACCTTGGTCTCCCGAAGAGATGGGCTTACAGGTGACAGCCACCGTGCCGGACTCAACCTGATGGTTTCACTACTGCCTTTGACTTTGGCCCACACGAATCAAATGTATCACCGTGGGCCACTGACTCAACTTCCCCATCTATCCAGTGGGAACAGAATATTGGATTGCACATAATAATCTCATTTTAAAGAGCTATAACGAAACAATTTATGTATTATATAGCTTTAAAAATACATCTTGTAGATTAAAGGACTCAAGAAACAATAGCAAGACTGCAAAACGCTGCCACGTCAGGTGACACTTTGGCCAGTTATGGAAAATGCTGACAAAACAAGAATTTGCCAGCATGGGCAAAGATATACTATTATCAACCCGACTCATTAAAATAGTAATATTGAACTAATTCGAAGTAGTTTGTTTTTTGTTTTTGAGACAGAGTCTCGCTCTGTTGCCCAGGCAGGAGTGCAGTGGTACGACCTCAGGTCACTGCAACCTCCGCTGCTCGGGTTCAAGCGATTCTTGTGCCTCAGCCTCCTGAGTAGCTGGAATTACAGGTGCCTGCCACCATGCCTGGCTAAGTTTTGTATTTTTGGTAGAGACGGGGTTTCTCCGTGTCGGCCAGGCTGGTCTTGAACTCCTGACCTCAAGTGATCTGCCTGCCTCGGCCTCCCAAAGTGCTGGGATTACAGGCGTGAGCCGCTGCGCCCGGCCAGCAGTTTATAATGTTTTTTATTCCTTGGTTCTAAACCTGTAAGGAACATAAATGGGGTGATTAATTTTGGCTCCTTGAATACCTGCCTGGCAGGTGCTGAGTCAGTGGTACCACACGATGACTCGGAGGTTCTCACTCAGGGACACCCTTCTGACTCCGTTTCAGTCCATGACTCAGGAGGAAAGGTTCTGGGGCCTCACCAGCGCCCTACACACACCCTCGTTTCCCGAGGGGCACCATTATATTCTTCCTTTATTGGCTGTCCTTGTATAATACAAATCTTCAAGTTTAGATACAAAAAAAATCTGGAAATAAAAGATAGAAAAGTACCCGCCAGGCACCCCTTCCCCTTCTTCCCGGACCCCTCCCCAGCGGGCACAGACATGAGGTAACTGCGCATCTTCTCCTCCTCCCCCCTCCCCGCCTCCTGGGCCCCCAACTTGGCCCCAGCCCCCATGAGACCTTGGCCCAAGGAACACATGGGCCCCAGAGCTGGAGGGCGATGGGGGTGACTACAGCATTGGCAGTGAACGCAGCGTGTGGGCAGAGGGCAGCCCTTAGCTTGTGCTGTGTATGGGGGGAGGAGACGACCAGATTTGGGGTGGGCACTGGTGTGGGGCCCAGGAGAGCCCCTAAGCAAGTGTCCCCCCCCATCCTGTCCAACACTGGAAGGTGGGAGGTCAACAGAAACTGGGAAATGGAGCGTGAACCAAGGGCATTCAGTGGGATTGTGGCCAACCCCTGTGTCTGGGGTGGGGGAAGGGGGCATCGCCAGCCTAAGTCCGGCAGTGAAATGGTTCCCTTAGCCAGGCTGGGTCCATCCCTGAATTCCATCCTGTTCCAACCTGGGTGTCACAATGTTGGTTCTGTAGTGGTTGTTGGGGTGGTTGAGAGAGGGGGGTGTTGAGAGGGTGCTGAGGGGCGCAGCCCCAGAGAGCAGGGTTAGGGGAGAGGTTGTGCCTCCACCCCCAGGCGTGGGGCGCCTGGAGATGATGGAGTGGGCGGGGCGGCTCGGGCTACAGTTCAATCTCGAATGTCTTCTGCAGGTCACCAGAAAAGGGGTTGGAGGGTTTCTCCACAGTGGGTTTGCCTTCTAATGCCGCCCACTGGGCCTCAAAGGGGTCCAACTCTGGAGCTGGGGCAGGCGCTGGCTCCGGGGGCCAGGGGGCCCCATTGGGGCGAGGGCGGGCCTGGCTCCCAGGGGCACTGGGTATGGCAGGGGGTGGGAAGGCCCCAGCTTTCCCAAGCAGGGTGGCGGGCTGAGGCTGGAGCTGGGCGGCTGAGCAGAAGGCGTTGGCCACCATCTGTGAGGGTGTGATGCCCACCACAGGCACCCGGGGCATCGGTGGGTAGCCCAAGCCTGGGTAGGTGGGCACAAAAGGGGGCTGCATGTGCGGGGGTGGCAGGAACACGGCCACTTGGGCAGATGCCGCGTCAAAGGGCCCCACAGGGGCAGGGAAAGGCTGCAAGGCAGGAGGCATGGTGGGCACCGGGGCCACAGACACTGTTTGCTGCTGCTGCTGCTGCTGCTGCTGCTGCTGCTGCTGCTGCTGTTGCTGCTGCTGCTGGGCCTTGGCCACCTGTGACACCTCCTCCAGCCATCGCTCAGCCTCTGAAGGTGTCCGCTTGTGCCCGGGCTGGAAGGCAGCTGCAGGGGGCACGGAGGGCTCACCCCAGGCAGAAGTCCCTGGAGAGAGGAGAGGGATAGGTGAGGGGGCAAGGGCTTCAGCAGAAGAACCTCAGGCTGGGAACTGGCATGGTGTGGGGATCAGAGCACAGACTCTGGAGCCAGACCGCCTGCCTCTGAATCCCAGCTCTGCACCTCCCTAGCTTGCTGACTTCAGGCAGGTGACTTCACCATTCTGGACCACATAATGGCTCTGGAGTGCTAAGAACATACAATTCTGAGCTTCTAAGGTCCCATGATGGGAAAGTCTAAGTAGGACTGACATCCTCCTAGCTCCACTGCCCTTCTGACTGGTCAGTGCCAAACCTGGGATTCACTATTTTGTTTTGTTTGTCTGTTTTGAGAGAGTTTCACTCTGTTGCCCAGGCTGGGATGCAGTGGCCCTATCTCGGCTCACTGCAACCTCCGCCTCCCAGGTTCAAGCAATTCTCGTGCCTCAGCCTCCTGAGTAGCTGGGATTACAGGCGCGCACCATCACACCCAGCTGATTTTTTGTATGTTTAGTAGAGGCAAGGTTTCAACATGTTGCCCAGGCTGGACTCAAACTCCTATCTCAAGTGATCCCCCCACCTCGGCCACCCAAAGTACTAGGATTACAGGCATGAGCCACCACACCCAGCTGGCATTCACTATTTTGAATATCACCCTTGATTCTCTAATACTTTCAGAATGTATTGTTTTAGGAGTTAAGATTCTAAGATTGCATGGATCTTTCTCCACATGTATAATATTATCCTAACATAGTAAGGTCTGACAGTTTAGGGTGGGGCTTTCTAAGATTCTCGAATTCTACATTTACAGCGTTTGAGATTCTAAGGTGCTCCTGTGGTTCTAGGATAAGCCCATGGCTCTAAGATGATACACGGTTCTCAAGGATTCCATGGTTCCAAAACGATCTCTGAGCTCTAAGGTGATCCCAAGATTCTAGGATGAGCCCATGCCTCTGAGATGACCCCATGGCTCTAAGATGATCCCGTATCTCTAAGATAAATCATGGTTCTAAGGTGATCACTTGATTCTCAGCTAATCCCATGGCTCTAAGATGATCCATGGTTCTAGGATGATCCTCTGGCTCTAAGATGATCTATGTTTCTAAGGTGATCCTATGGCTCTAAGATGATCCATAGTTCTAGGATGATCCCTTGGTTCTAAGGGGATCCCATGGTTCTACAGGGATTCCATAGCTCTAAAATGATCAAGGGCTCTGAGATGATCCATGGCTCTAAGATGATCACATGATTCTCAGATAATCCCATGGTTCTAGGCTGATCCCCTGGCTCTAAGATGATCCCTGGGTCTAAGGTGATCACACGATTCTGAGGTAATCCCATGGCTCTAAGATGATCCATGGATCTAGGATAATCCCCTGACTCTAAGATGATCCATGGTTCTAAGGGGATCCCATGGTTCTACAGGGATTCCATAGCTCTAACATGATCAAGGGCTCTGAGATGATCCATGGCTCTAAGATGATCACATGATTCTCAGATAATCCCATGGTTCTAGGCTGATCCCCTGGCTCTAAGATGATCCCTGGGTCTAAGGTGATCACATGATTCTGAGGTAATCCCATGGCTCTAAGATGATCCATGGATCTAGGATAATCCCCTGACTCTAAGATGATCCATGGTTCTAAAGTGATCGCGTGATTCTCAGGTAATCCCATAGCTCTAAGATGATCTCTGGTTCTAAGGTGATTGCATGATTCTGAGGTAATCCCATGACTCTAAGATGATCCACGGACCTAGGATGATCCCCTGGCTCTAAGATGGTCCATGGTTCTAAAATAATCACATGATTCTCACGTAATCCCATGGCTCTAAGATGATCCATGGTTCTAGGATGATCCCCTGGCTCTGAGGTGATCCATGATTCTAAGCCTGTAGGATCCCAAGACCCCTGGAGTGTCTGGGTAGCCCTGGATAGAGGAGGGGGTACAGGAAGGACATGCAGGGTGTCTGCCCAGTAGAAAGCCTGGCTTTACCTGTTGTGGCAGGTGGTGGCCCTGGTGCTGGTGCTCCAGCACTGGCAAAAGATGAACTGATCTGTGTGCACAGAGCGTTGATGCTGTCACTGTCGCTGGCGCCAGGAGGCTCCATCTCAGGCACTGGGAAGCAGGGCAGGACGGAGGTCAGCAAACAGGCCCAGGCCCTGCTGCAGCCCCACCCTTTATCCCACGCCCTTGGTGGCCCTCTCTTGTGACCTGTATCCTTTCCTGCTGTAGTAACTAAGTGGCCATGACCGCCAAATAACTGCACACGTGTGTGTCACATCTGAATGGCAGAACGATCAACTTACTGTGTGACATTTGATGGTTGACAGTAACAGGGACCCCAAACCAAGGACCTCAAGATTTGTGTGCGGCCACAAACCAGAAGAGATGTCTAAAACATTTAGCAACATATATTAGTTTAAAAATATGCCCAACCACGTGCATGGCAAGGACATGGGCCCAGTCTGAATGGATTGTGGCATGGCCGCTCACTGGCTGGGGATCATTTGTCCAGCTTTGGGCAGAGAAGTGGGGCCCTGTCCACCCCACCCAGCCTGACCTATGGCAAACATCATGAGAGCAGAGATGTGCCTGTGCCAGCAAGGCAGGAGACACTGAGCAGGCATGGCGGCCCCGCGAGGGCTTGGGATGAGCACAGGTACCATCCAAATAAACAATTAAGGACTGCCATGTGTGGTGTGTGACACATGTCTGTGACGTTTTAGCCAATGGCTGTCTCCAAGGGGTCATGCAGATGCTCCAGTGAACATCAGAACTGGCCGTAGGTGTCTGCAGGTGTGCTGTGGGGGCGCCCAGGTGGGACAGCCAATGTCAACAATGATTGTGCATGTTCATCCAAACAGGCATGCAGCTTCTGAGGTTGTGGCATCTGAGTGTGACTGGAGTCCAGGTGTGTGGCGTCCTGATGCGTGACCCCCAGGTGTGAGTGCATCTGCCGTGTGATGTACGAGTGTGTTTGCAGGTGTGCATGAATCTGCACATGTGGCTTTGGAGTTTGCATAAATCTGGGTGTGTGATCTATGAAGGTGTGTAAATCTGAGTGTGTTTCTTTTTAAAAAATATTTATTTATTTTTGACACAGGGTCTCATTCTGTTGCCCAGGCTGGAGTGTAGTGGCACAATCTTGGCTCACTGCAACCTCTGCCTCCCAGGCTCAAGCAATCTTCCTGAGTAGCTGTGACTACAGGTGCATGCCACTGCACCTGGTTAACAATAAAGGTTAATTTTTTAAATTTTTTTGTAGAGATGAGATCTTGCTGTGCTGCCCAGGCTGGTCTCAAACTCCTGAGCTCAAGTGATCCTCCCTCCTTGGCCTCCCAAAGTGTTGGGATTACAGGTGTGAGTCACCACGTCTGGCCATGTGTGACTTCTGACTCTGTGATTTTGGAGTGTGCGTGACTTGAGAGTATACCTGACTCTGAGTTTGTGACTTCTGAGCATGTGTGACATGTGTGTGAGGGTACGATGTCTATGTATGTGAAATTTCTGTGTGGCATGTCACATCCAAGTGAGCGTGCAGCTGGCCACAGGAGTGTGAGGATTCTAAATAAAGCCTGGAGCTCCTGCCACCTCTCAGGAGCGCGTGTGACAGCCTGGGGAGTGTGCCTGATGTCAGGCTGCGTAAGGACAGCAAATGTGAGGGTGTGTGATGGCCCAGGAGTGCTGCAGGCATGGAGTGAGTGTGCGTCACTCTCAACAAGGGTGGGCACCTGCTCACCGGTTACCTTTTGGAGCAGCCCAGCCTCCTGGATACAGCTCAACACCCTCCCACACCAATCCCCAAGGCCATAATGGGTAGGCGATGCAGATTTGGCATCCAGGAACAAGAGTGTGGGCCAGACCACATGGCTTCACTGGCTGCTGGTGGGGAAGAGAGCCCTTCTGCCTGCCTCCCTCAGGCAAAACTCAGTAGCATGCCACTTCTATCTTCTTCCTTTCCCATGGCAGACATTGTTCTCAATTTTTTTTTTTTTTTTTTTGAGACAGGATCTCACTCTGTTGCCCAGGCTAGAGTGAAGTGGTGCAATCTGAGCTCACTGCAGCCTCAATCTGCTGGGCTCAAGCAATTCTCCTTTCTCAGCCTCCTGAGTAGCTAAGACTACAGGCATGCGCCACCACACTAGACTAGTTTTTGTATTTTTTTGTAGAGACAGGGTTTAGCCAAGTCATCTGCCTCAAGGGATCCTTGAACCCCTCTTGGGCTCAAGTGATCTGCCTGCCTTGGCCTCCCAAAGTCCTGGGACTACAAGCATGAGCCACTGCACCTGGCTGGACATCGCTTTTAGATCATGATGTATACCACCTGTCTCCTTTCCCTGGCCCACGGCAGACATTAGTAATCAAACACGATTTTTGCTCCACGGAGCTCTTTGCTCACCTTACCCATCACCTGTCCAGACTTCATGGCTCCCCTGACCAAGTGCTAGAAGAAACAGATCCTTGTAACTCCATCTTCCCTCCAAGTAAAACACGACCTTTATATCTCCTCTCTCCTATCACCAGCCATGGCAGACAATGCCAATCAATTATGATGTGCTGCTCCTTTTCGTGATGGGTACTGCCTCTGCTCAACTCTGTGCCCACAACAAATATCCCTGATCCATCACTATGCCCCCTGACCCCTGGGATCTCTGAGCTCACTGGTGCCCTGCATGTCATGTTTCTACTGACCAATTCTGGGAGTCTCCCCTTTGGGTAAAAACATAACACTCTTCCTACTCTCTCTTCTCCCTTGCCCATGACACACACTGTAAGGAGATCATGATTGCTAACCAATCATGATGTGCACCATCCTTCTTGTTTTCCTTAACCACAGCAGACATTGCTAATTGATCATGATTTGTGATGCCTTTTTTGCCATCCCTTGATGCTCTCTGCCCTAGGCAGACATTGCTAATCCATCGCAATCCTCCTTTCCTTAGAGCCTGAGGAATACCTGTATCCTTCACCTAGCCAGATTTCATAGGCAAATGCTTGGAGGGAGAGAGCACGCATTAACTTACAGTGCTTCAGTCTATTTCTGAGCAAAAACAGGCCAACAGTGTTGCTTCTCTTCTTTCCCTGGCCCATGGCAAACTTCCTTATCCATGCCCGACTTCTTTGTCCATAGTGGACTTTACTAACTAATCATGACGTGCGTCATCTTTCTCCTTTTCCTTAACCACACCAGACATTGCTAATTGATCATAACTTGTGAGGCCTTTCTGCTATCCCTTACTCAGAGCAGACATGGTTTATCAATCCTGATTTGTGCTGTCTCCTTCCTCTCCCTTGCCCACTGCTAATCGATCATGACATGTTCCACCTCTCTCTCCTTTGCCCATGGCAGACAGTGCAAATCAATCACAGTGTGAACCATCTCGCCTCTATCCCTTGCCCACATCAGATAGTGCCAATTGATTCCAGTGCCCTTTCCCACTGGGCCCAGGGCTCACCTGTGCCCTTCACCTGGAAGTCAGTGCGGCGCTGCAGCGTGGATGGCAGCTCATTCAGTCGTAGGCTCAGCTGCCGTTTGAAAGGTGAGTTCTTCTGGCTGAGTGCTGGGAACCCACGGAAGGAGCCCTGGCGAACCAACTGCTCCAGGGGGGCATGGCGCCGGGGGATGGCGGCCGCAGTGGTGCCTGCAGCCACGGGGGTGCCTGCCTCACCCTTCTCACCAGGGGATGTGGTGGCTGGTGTTGGGGACACGTGCCCAGGCTGGGCAGGGCCAGGAGCCACAGTGGGGGCAGCTGCTGCCTCTGCTGGAGACATGGGGGAGATGGATGGTTAGGTATCTCACCATGGCATTCAAGGCCTCTCCCGCCTGGTTCTCTGGGTCATTCTCCAAGGCTGCCTTCCTTGTCAGTGAGTCCCGCCCGTACGACAAGCTAGTCAAAGCCTTGAGATATCCCTCACTCCCACCCAAGTCAAGATCCCCTTCCCCAGGAGGCCCTTGGAAAACCGTCCCCCAGGCTCACCCTCTGTGTCTCGCCAGCTTCCTGCCCCTTTCTGTCTTGCCCTGCTGCTCTCACTATTCTTCCCTCGGAGACCCTCTATCTCCCTTTCCGATCATTTAACAAACACTTATTTGGTGCCGGAATAACGTATGAGGCATTGTTCCAGATGCTTTGCAAGTATTAACTCATTCAATCCACACGACTACGCGTGGGGTTGATACGATCCTCATTTTACAGATGTGGAAACTGAGACCCAGCAAAGGCCCAGTGTGATATGCTCCAAATGACACTGCTAGGAAAGGACAGACTGACTCTGGAGCCCATGCTCCAAATGACTGCCCACCCTGTCTCCCTCTGGCCTCGCTCTCTGTATCATGTCTTTCTCTGTCACTGTCTGTCTCCCACCTCCCAGCCTTCTTCCCACCTCAAGGAGCTCCTCCCTTCCTCCAGTCATTCTAGACATGGCTTGGATGCTTCATCCTCTGAGAAGCTTTCCAGATTGTTCTGGTCTCTCAGCCTGGCTCCCTCCACTCTGAGACTGTTCTCTGTCCTCTGGGAGGAAGCCTGACCTCCCTACTCAGCAGGAGAGGCAGGCTCTTCAAGGGCAGGGCTCCCCTCACCCCTGCCAAACTATGAACACACACCTACCCTCCTACCAGGGCCTCCCCGAGCTGCGGCCTGAATACCATGGAGATTAAACTCGGGCCCAGAGAGACCCTCCCAGAAGGATGTCGCCCAGTGCTGCTTCTCCCATCGTGACACAATGGGGCACCCATGCAGGTCTGGCCCAGGGTAGTGGAAACAGCCCAGGACAGGTTGGAACCAGGAAACCACCTCTGCCCCCACTCACTGTGTGACCTCAGTAAGTCCCCTCCCCTCTCTGGGCTCCAGTTTGCCAACTAGAAACCTGGGATAAACATCTCATGCTACTTCCCAAGCCTCCGAGAGGGTCAGTTTAGGTGGTGAATGTTAAATGTTTTGGAATCCAACAAAAGCATGCCTGGACACAGTGGCTCATGCCTATAATCCCAGCACTTTGAGAGGCCGAGGTGGGAGGATCACTTGAGGCCAGGAGTTCAAGACCAGCCTTGCCAACATGGTGAAATACCATCTCTACTAAAAATACAAAAAAAGATTAGTTGGGTGTAGTGGCACATGCCTGGGATTACAGCTACTCCAGAAGCTGAGGCAGGAGAATTGCTTGAACCCGAGAGGCAGAGGTTGCAGTGAGCCAAGATCACACCATTGCACTCCAGCCTGGGCAACAGAGTGAGACTCTGTCTCCAAAAAAGAAAAATAAAACAAACAAACTTAGCTGGGTGTGGTGGTGGGCACCTGTAATCCCAGCTACTCAGGAGGCTGAGGCATACGAACTGCTTGAAACCAGGAGGCGGAGGTTGCAGTGAGCTGAGATGGCGACACTGCACTCCAGCCTGGGTGCCAGAGAGAGACTCTGTCTCAAAAAAAAGATGTTCTTTTTTTTCCCCTTACAATCCAGGATCCAATTCAGGATCACATCTTGCACCTATTAATACCTGTCAAATCTCATTCGTCTCCCTTAATCAGGATCAGTTTCCAATGGTAAATTCTTTGTAAATTCTAAGTAGTGTTTTCCCCAAAAAACGTAAACTAGAATTCACAGTAAAAAATAAATAGATAAATTAATTAAATTATATGGTGACTCAGGACATACATACAATTATAATTTAAACACACACACACACACACAGTTTTAGAACTTACAAAGTAACCATTTACCTAGAAAGTTAGTTTTACCAAGTATGTTTCAAACTTTCTTGATGGCAATCCGGCAATCCAGAGTAAGAGGTATCTTTTATATGGTAGCCTCTTACATGCACACGCGCGCACACACACACACACACACACACTCTCTCTCTCACACTCAAATAAAAGTATCATTAAATTATATTTAACCCTTATGCCATTCAATATACTCTGATATTTTCTATGATTCTCTATTTCATTGTTTTTAAATTCTTTTTTTTTTTTTTTTTTTGAGACGGAGTCTTGCTCTGTCGCCCAGGCTGGAGTGCAGTGGCCGGATCTCGGCTCACTGCAAACTCCGCCTCCCGGGTTTATGCCATTCTCCTGCCTCAGCCTCCCGAGTAGCTGGGACTACAGGTGCCCGCCACCTCGCCTGGCTAGTTTTTTGTATTTTTTAGTAGAGACGGGGTTTCACCATGTTAGCCCATGTTAGGATGGTCTCGATCTCCTGACCTCGTGATCTGCCCGTCTCGGCCTCCCAAAGTGCTGGGATTACAGGCTTGAGCCACCGCACCCGGCCTCATTTTTTTTTTTTGAGACAGGGTCTCACTCTGTCTGTCACCCAGGTTTGAGTGTGGTGGCACAATCGCAGCTGTCTGCAGCCTCTACCTCCTGGGCCCAGGTGATCCTCCTGCCTCAGCCTCCTGAGTAGCTGGGACCTCAGGCTGCACCACCATGCCTGGCTAATTTTTTAATGATTTGTAGAGACAGGGTTTCCCTATGTTGCCCAGGTTGATTTCATTTTTTAAAATGCCAGCCACATGGGCTGGGCCCAGTTGTCCATACCTATAACACCAGTGCTTTGGGAGGCTGAGGTGGGAGGATCATTTGAGGCCAGGAGTTTGAGACCAGCCTGGGAAACACAGCAAGATCCCAGTTCTACAAAAACTAAAAATAAAACTAGCCAGATGCTGTGGTGCGTGCCCATATTCCCAGCTACCTGGAGGCTGAGGCAGGAGAATTACCTGAGCCCAGGAGTTTGAGGCTGCAGGGAGCTGTGATCATGCCACTGCACTCCAGCCTGGGCAACAGAATTAGACCTCAACTCAGAAAACAAAACAAAAAATGCCAGCTACAGTACAGCAAATTGGCTTCACAGGTCTTGATACACAGGTTGGAAAGTCCTGAGAAGGCCAGGCGCCATGGCTCACGCCTGTAATCCCAACACTTTGGGAGGCCGAGGCAGGTGGATCACCTGAGGTCAGGAGTTTGAGACCAGCCTGGCCAACATGGGGACACCCTGTCTCTAATAAAAATACAAAAATTAGCCATGCCTGTAATCCTGGCTACTCGAGAGGCTGAGCCAGGAGAATTGCTTGAACCCAGGAGGTGGAGATTGCAGTGAGCCAAGATCGCACCCTTGCACTCCAGCCTGGGTGACAGAGCAAGACTCTGTCTCAAAAAAAGACAGAGTCTTACTCTACTGCCCAGACCGGAGTGCAGTGGTGTGATCTCGGCTCACTGCAACCTCCACCTCCAGGGTTCCAGCAATCCTCCTGCCTCAGCCTCCCAAGTAGTTGGGATTACAGGTGTAGGCCACCATGCCCGGTTAATTTTTGTATTTTTAGTAGAGACGAGGTTTCACCATGTTGCCCAGGCTGGTCTCGAACTTCTGACCTCAAGTGATCTGCCCACCTTGGCCTCTCAAAGTGCTGGGATTACAGGCGTGAGCCATGGCGCCTGGCCTGAAGCATCCCCTGCTTTGTAAACTGTTGAGTCCCTGTACCTCTGAAGCCCCCCGCCCCCCGACCTTGGGTACCCTGTGCCCACTCTGTGCCCTGCTGGTGCTCAGGGCAACACCCACCTTTCTTCTTGTCCGGGGCCTCTCGCTCAGCAGGCCGCCCACCCCCAGACAGGCGGAAGGAGCCCTCGCGGGCAAAGCTGGTGCGGCTGGCATCGAAGGCGGCCGTGACCCCGCATTCCTTCTCCCGTCGCTGTTTTCGCTCCAGGCAGGCGGCAAAAGCACAGCCCACGGCGTGGCTCAGCCTCTCGCCCTGTGGGGAGAGGATGGGCGGGGGTTAGAGGTGCTGGGCAGGGCGGACAGGGGCCAGGGGCACTGGGTTACAGCCACTAGGTACTGGATCGCGCTGGATGAGTCCCTGCACTTCTCTGGGCCTCAGTGCTCATCTGCACCACGAGGAAGGGCTGGAAATGACAGCTCCAAGTGAGAGAAGCCAGAAACCAAGGAGCCTGTTGTGTGGCTCCACTTACCGGAAATTCCAGAAGAGACAAAACTAATCTATGGTGAAAAAAGTCAGAGCAGGCCAGGAGTGGTGGCTCTCTCCTGTAATGCTAGCACTTTGGGAGGCTGAGGCAGGAGGTTCCCTTGAGCCCAGGAGGTCAAGGCTGCAGGGAGCTATGATTGCACCACTGCACTCCAGCTTGGGTGACAGAACGAGATTCTGTCTCAAAAAAAGAAAGTCAGAATAGTGGTAGTTTCCTATGGGGTGGGGAATGACTGGAAAGGGTATGAAGGGATGATTGGGTGCTGGCAATGTTCTAGATATTGATAGGGGTTTGGTTACATGGGTGTATGCAATTGTCAAAATTCGTTGACTGTACACTGAAGGCTTGTGCATTGCTATGGACTAAATGTGTGTTTCTCTCCCAATTCAAACACTGAAGCCCTCATTCACAATGTGCTGGTATTTGGGTGTAGGCCTTTGGGAGACAATGAGAGTTATGTTAGATCATGAGGTGGGATCCTCATGATGGAATTAGTGCCCTTATTTATTTATTTATTTTCTAGGACAGGGTCTCACTCTGACACTCATGCTGGAGTGCAGCGGCACAACCTCAGCTCACTGCAACCTCTACCTCCCGGCTTCAAGCAATTCCCCTGCCTCAGCCTCCCAGTAGCTGGGAGTATAGGCATGCACCACCACGCCCGGCTAAGTTTTGTATTTTTAGTAGAGATGGGATTTCACGATGTTGGCGAGGCTGGACTCGAACTCCTGACCTCAGGTGATGTGCCCACCTGCGCCTCCCAAAGTGTTGGGATTACAGGCATAAGCCACTATGCCTGGCCAGGATTAATGCCCTTAAAAAGGAGAAAAAGGCCGGGCGCGGTGGCTCAAGCCTGTAATCCCAGCACTTTGGGAGGCCGAGGCGGGTGGATCATGAGGTCAGGAGATCGAGACCATCCTGGCTAACATGGTGAAACCCCGTCTCTACTAAAAATACAAAAAAAAAACTAGCCGGGCGTAGTGGCAGGCGCCTGTAGTCCCAGCTACTCGGAGGCTGAGGCGGGAGAATGGTGTGAACCCGAGAGGTGGAGCTTGCAGTGAGCCGAGATCGCGTCACTGCACTCCAGCCTGGGCGACAGAGCAAGACTCCGTCTCAAAAAAAAAAAAAAAAAAAAAAAAAGGAGAAAAAGACATGAGATCTCCCCTCCACCTTGCCAAGTGAAGATACAGAAAGCAGGCATCCGTCTGCAAACCAGGAAAAGAGCCCTCACCAAGAAATGAGCCATTTGACACCCTGACCTCAGGCATCCAGCCTCTAGAAGTGCAAGAAACAAATGTTTGTCATTTAAGCCACACAGTCTACACCATTTGGTTACAGCGGCCTGAACTAAGACAATTATATCTTTCGCTTTGAAGGAAAAAAAAAAATCTGGAAACAAATACAAATTATACTTAATGGTGTGCATGCTGAAATATGGAGCGGGAAGTAGTCCGATGCCTACAAAAAGTATCAGATGGTCCAAGCACAGTGGCTCACACCTGTAACCCCAGCACTTTAGGAGGCTGAGGCAGGCGAATCACTTGAGGCCAGGAGTTTGAGACCAGCCTGGCCAACATGGTGAAACCCTGTCTCTACTAAAAATACAAAAATTAGCCGGGCGTGGTGGCAGGCACCTGTAATCCCAGCTACTATGGAGGCTGAGGCAAGAGAATTGCTTGAACCCGGGAGGTGGAGGTTTCAGTGAGCCAAAATTGTGCCACTGTACTCCAGTCTCGCTCTGTCTCAAAAAAAAAAAAAAAAAAAGTAAGTAATGAACTACTGATCCAAGCGGCTCACGCCTGTAATCCGAGCACTTTGGGAGGCCAAGGTGAGTGGATCACTTGAGTCCAGGAGTTCCAGACAAGCCTGGGCAACATGGTGAAACCCTGTCTCTACAAAAAATACAGAAAATTAGCCGGGCATGGTGGCATGTGCCTGTAGTCCCAGCTACTCAGGAAGCTGAGGTGGGAGAATCACTTGAACCCAGGTTGCAGTGAGGTGAGACTGCACCACTGCACGCCAGCCTGGGTGACAGAGAGAGACCTTGTCTCATTAAATAAATTAATTAAATTAAAAATATTGCCGGGTGGGGTGGCTCACACCTGTAATCCCAGCACTTTGTAATCCAAGTGCTGGGATTACAGGTGTGAGCCACTGAGCCACCGTGCCCAGCCAATACTCTTTTTTTTTTTTTTTTTTTTGAGATGGAGTCTCACTCTGTCACCCAGGCTGGAGTGCAGTGGTGCAATTCTGGCTCACTGCAACCTCCACCTCCTGGGCTCAAGTGATTCTCCTGCCTCAGCCTCCTGAGAAGCTAGGACTACAGGTGTGCACCACCACACCTGGCTAATTTTTTGTATTTCAGTGGAGATGGGATTTTACCATGTGGTCCAGGGTGGTCTTGAAAGCCTGAGCTCAGGCAATCCACCCGCCCCAGCATCCCAAAGTGCTGGGATTACAGGTATGAGCCACTGCACCCAGCCCTCACGTGAATACTCTAAATTGGGAACTGAGTATACCCTCTTCTCCAGATGAGGAAACTGGGCACACAGAGGTGAGTGACGTGCCTGAATGGAGGAAGCTTGTCAGGGTGGGGCTGGGATGCCAGGGCATGGGAGGGAAGAGCCGGCCAGCTGTGGCAATACTCACGGAGTCCTTGAGTGCCAGAAAACAGTGGCAGATCCAGCGGCGGGTGGTCCCATCACGGCAGATATAGGAGAAAGCCTTGTCCAGGTTGCGGTCAGGAGCACAAAAGGAGACCTTTTCGATGGTCTGGTCGACCAGAAGATCCTAGGAGGGGCCGGGGAGGCCAGGAGAAGAGTGTGAACTGTCTTTCGAGTATTCACTCAACATTCTCTCCGTGTCTGCTGAAATCCCGTCCTGAACGGGGTAGGGACCCAGCAGTCACTGAGACACCCTGTGCCCTGCCTGCAGAGGGCTCCCAGGTCAGAGGGAAGATCAGACCCATCACGAGATGGGCAGCCCAGAGTACAGGCAGGATGTGATGACGGAGGCCCAGGCAGAGGGGTCAGGGCCAGCGTGGCAAAAGCCGGCTTGGGGTTAGTCAGACAGGGCTTCCTGAAGCAGGTATTAACTAGGAAAAAAAGTCAAGGAACAGTATTTTGGGCTGAGGAAACTGCCTTGCAAAGGTGGTGGCCTTGTTCTGTCATTAACCCAACTCTCAGCATGTCCTGGGCACCTCCTAGGGCAGTCTCTGGGCTGGGGGCAGGGGATTCAAGGTGAGCAAACAGATACCTAGATCGTGGCCTCATAGTGCTTCCTTCTGGCTGGGCAGGGTGACAACAAACACTTAACAGCTAACATTCATTGATCTGAGCAGTTATGTACGATGTACCAGACCCTATTAAATAATTTTTTTCTTCCCAGAAGAAGTCTTGCTCTGTCACCCAGGCTAGAGTGCAGTGGTGTGATCTTGGCTTACTGAAACCTCTGCCTCCTGGGTTCAAGCGATTCTCCCATCTCAGCCTCCCAAGTAGCTGGGATTACAGGCACGCATCACTACATCTGGCTAATTTTTGTATTTTTAGTAGAGGTGGAGTTTCACCATCTTGGTCAGGCTAGTCTCGAACTCCTGACCTCAGGTGATCCACCCGCCTCAGCCTCCCAAAGTGCTGGGATTGTAGGTATGAGCCACCGTGCCCAGCCCGCATTAAAAATTGTATTAAAAATTATTTTGTATATATGGAAACTTGCTCCTTTTCACAGGCTGATCTTGAACTCCTGGCTTCAAGGGGCCCTCCCAGCCAGGCACCATTTCAAACAACTTGCATATGCTTTCTCACTTAATGGTAGGGTCTATGATAATCCCACCCCCACTCCTTTTTTTTTGAGATGGAGTTTCGCTGTTGTTGCCCAGGCTGGAGTGCAATGGCATGATCTCAGCTCACTGCAACCTCCACCTCTCGGGTGCAAGCGATTCTCCTGCCTCAGCCTCCCAAGTAGCTGGGATTACAGGCGTGCACCACCACATCTGGCTAATTTTTGTATTTTTAGTAGAGATGAGGTTTCACCATATTGCCAGGCTGGTCTTAAACTCCTGACCACAGGTGATCCCCCCTCCTTGGCCTCCCAAAGTACTGGGATTACAGGCATGAGCCACCGCTCCCGGCCTATAATCCCCATTTTTTAGATGACACAACCGAGACCCAGAGAGGTTAAATCTCATGCCCAGGGGCCCTAAGCTGGGATCGGAGCTGAGGCAGCTGCTCCAGTCTCTCTCACCCACAGCCTATGCCAGTTCCCAAATAATCACTGCATTTATTCCTGAGTTATGATGACTGAGGGAGCACACGGCATCGTCTAGAAGGTCCCTGAGGGAGGGATGTGCAGAGGAGGTGGTTAGGCGTCCTCCGCTCTGATTCCAGCAGGGTGAGCAGACAGGCCCCCCGGTGTCCACCCCCACAGGCCTCCTACCTTGGTTTTGTCATCCACCACTCGGAGCCCATCGGCTGACACCCACAGGACAGACTTCACGGACTTTCGGCCCATCTGGGGAGAGGCAAGGGGACAAAGGAGCCGGGTCAGGGTGCCTCTCCCTGTCTGACCTTGCCCCTCCCTTGTGCCAGCCCCCTCACTCACCGCCTTCAGCTTCTTCACCGCGTCTTCACACACGTGCATTCCCCGGGACTCCTCCACCTCCACGTGGCCCAGGTACTTGGGTTGGAGGGAATGGAGGGATATGAAACAGCATAGTAATCACTCATTCTCCGTGCCCACTGAGCATCTGCCATGCAGCAGACAATATTCTAAACACATGCATGACGTGTATGCAATCATTTATTCTGCATCTCAACTCTACAAGGTGGACACCCCATTCCTAGTCTAGACATGCAGATGGGGAAACTGAAGCACAGCATCTAGTAGTGATTCAGATCTAGCTATATCCCTGGGCCCTAACCTGGCACCATGGTCCTCCCGAGAGCCACCATTTGCATCTCTGTGCGTGAGGACTGGCCCCAGGCCATGCAAAGCTGCTCTGCCCACCCTAAAGCAGCTAGAAAGAGCCTGGGCCAGTCCCGGCAATGATTGACGGGAGTTAGGGTACCTGAGCCCCAACTCCCTCACCTGCAGGTGGGATGACTGTTGCCTCGAGTTTCCCAGAGGAAAGCTCAGTTGCACACAGCTGCAGTTTTAATAACACACCCTTTACTGACTGCCTTACTTTCCTCACTCCCAACACCATTTCCTGCACCTCCCAAATGAAGCCCTCACACTCAGAGTCTGCTTCCGGGGGAAGGGAACATAAGGTAGTGGAGGGGCTGTGACCATGGTCAGTCATCACTCAGCCAGGAAGGGGCTGAGCTCCACAGTCCATGCCATGATTCCTGCTCTCCCCCTCATAGGAATGTAAAGGTATAGGGTATGGCTAAACCAGACGCCCTTAACGGTAGAGCACTTTGCAAATGCTACACATGACATCATAGTTTCCAGGTGATAGTTTGCTGGTACAAGAAAACGTGTTTTGGTTGGTTGGTTGTTTTCAAGATTGGGTATCACTCTGTTGCCTAGGCTGGAGTGCAACGGCACAATTAAGGCTCACTGTAGCCTCGACCTTCCTGGACTCAAGTGAGCCTCCCACCTCAGCCTTGCGAATAGCTGGGACTACTGGTGCGTGCCACTGTGCCTGACTATTTTTTGTAGAGACAGGGTTTCTCTGTGTTTGCCCAGGCTGGTCTTGAACTCCTTGGCTCAAGCTATCCTCCCACCACAGCCTCCCAGTGTCCTGGAATTACAGGTGTGAGCCGCCACCACACTTCACGCTTTTTTTTTTTTTTTTTTCCTAGACAGAGTCTGCTCTGTCGCCCAGGCTGGAGTGCAGTGGTGCTATCTCGGCTCACTGCAACCTCTGCCTCCCGGGTTCAAGTGAGTCTCCTGTCTCAGCCTCCCCAGTAGCTACAGGCGCCCTGCACCACGCCCGGCTAATTTTTGTATTTTTAGTAGAGATGGCAAGATGGCACCATGCCCAGCTAAGTTTTGTATTCTTAGTAGAGATGGGGTTTCACCATATTGGTCAGGCTGGTCTCGAACTCCTCACCTCAGGTGATCTACCTGCCTCAGCCTCCCAAAGTGCTGGGATTACAGGCATAAGCCACGGCGCCCGGCCGGCCTCATGCTTTTTAATACCAACTTCAAATGACTTGAGCGCGTGTCCCAGTCAGGCCGTGCATGGCGGCACAGGCACAGGCACCGCCCCGGTCCATCGCCGTGCCCCGGCCGGCGCCCCCACCCGCCGGCACTCCGCGGCCCACTCACCCTGACCGGGAAGCTGCACGTGCCCTTCCGCACTGCGTCCTCGTCCGCCTGCCACTGGTGCGGGCGCGACGCCTCAGGCACGTAGGCTGGCTTCCTCCGCCGCAGGCTCTGCCGTAACTTGTTCATGGTGCCCGCCCCGTCTGGTGACATAGGACAGTGATGTGGATCAAGGGCGGGGGTCAGAAGGTATGGAGCTCAACGGGGAGACCAGTGCTCAAGGAGCATGAGGAAGGAGCCAACAGAAGCCAGGGGAGTGCGAGCACTGGGCACTGCGGATTCAGAACCACGGGGCTAAGGGGCGGGAGGTCTGGGGTGGGGGCATGGGGCACAGGTTTCAGGGCGTTGGAGGGCTTCTTGTCCGTGTGGTGGATGCTTCCTCATTCCCAGGCCATGAGCATCCAAAGGGTGGGAAGTCAGACATAGGAGGGCATGGGGGTTGGAGGGCATGGGGGGTTGGAGGGCATGGGGGTCAGGGGCCACACAGGGGTTTTAGGGGTATGAGAGTCAGGCAGTGGGGTGATCAGAGGACAGCAGAGGAGTTGGGAACTGCATGGGTCAGAGGTGCGGGAGTCAGGTGCATGGGGTGTGGGGGATGGTGGCTTGCCTCTGGAACTCTGAGACGCAGCCATTCTGTGACAACTGTGTCTAGTCCCCAGGCAAGGCTTCTGGGGCCTTGCACCCACGACTGTCAGAGGCAGCGCTGTGGGTGTGTGGAGTGGGCATGGAGGTGGCAGCCACTAGGACAGTCTTCACTGATCAGCCATCCTGACAGTCCCAGGACTGGGAGCACCAACAGCAGAGGGGGACGTGTGTGTGTAAGCAAGTGTGCAATGGTATGTTCTGGAAAGCTATGAGGGGATCTGTATCTAAGCATGCAAGTAATGTCTCTGAGTGTTTCTGAAGGCTGTTTGGAAGAATGCATGTCTGAGAATGGTGTATGATAGTGTGCATCTGTGAGTGCTGTCTGTGAGGGATGCATCCAAAAGTGTGGTTGTTGTCTGCGGGTCTGAGTCCCTGAAGGTTGTTGCTGAAGGGCATCGATGTCTGAGAGTGCTTGTGTGTGTCTGCCGTCTATATCCGAGAGTGCTGTTGTTGTCTATGAGAACTTGTGGCTCAGTGCCTGTTGCCTGTGAGGGAGGGTGTGTCTGTGTTTGAGCATGAGGCTGTCGTCTTTCAAAGGGTGTGCCCATGGCTGTTATCCATGTAGCTATGTCTCTGTGTGAAGGTGTGGCTATTGTCTGTGAGTCTGTGATGATACTGCCTCTGAGAGTGCGTCTGAGGGACCCACGAGACTGTCTGTGTCCAAGAGTGCAGCTGTTGGCGGCGAGCCTGTGTGGCTGTGGCTGTGGCTGTCATCTTAGAGTGTGGGTGCATGGGTATTGCACAGAGGTTGTATCTGTGTGCAGTGGTGCATCTGTTAGGGTGTGTGAGAACATGAGGTTGTCTTTAGCGAGACTGTGTTCATGAGGGTTATTTTTAAGGGTGCGACTGTTGCCTGAGAGAGTGCTGGGTGCTGTTTGTGAGACTGTGTTTGTGCGTGTTTGTGCACAACCGTAGCTCCCTGTGAGAGCCTGGGCCCGCGGGTGCTGTCTGTGAAAGTGTGACTGTCATCTGTAGAAATGTGGGTCTGTGTGTGTTGTCAGACTCTGCAAGAGTAGGTCTTTTTTTTTTTTTTTTTTTTTTGAGACAGAGTTTTGCTCTTGTTGGGAATGGAGGCTGGAGTGCAATGGCGCGATCTCGGCTCACAGCAACCTCTGCCTCCCGCGTTCAAGCGATTCTCCTGCCTCAGCCTCCCGAGTAGCTGGGATTACAGGCATGCGCCACCACCCCTGGATAATTTTGTATTTTTAATAGAGACGGAGTTTCTCCATGTTGGTCCGGCTGGTCTCGAACTCCCGACCTCAGGTGATCTGCCCACCTCAGCCTCCCAAAGTGCTGGGATTATAGGCGTTGAGCCACCGCGCCCAGCCAACAGTGTGTCTCTTGAGAGTATGTATCTCAGAGTCTGTATCCAGCGAGCGTCTGTGGTCACCTGTGAATCTGGGTGTTGTCTGGGAATGTGGCTGTGTGTCTATGTATGTGTATATATGTTTGTGTATTAGTGTGATGAACATTTACTTAAGCACGTGTTCAAGTGTGTTACTGCATTAGCAAGTGTGTGTGATCTGAAAGAGATCTGTGTTTGTGTGTGTGTGTGTCTAACTGTATGTCTACAGATGTGAGTGTCTGAGTGTGGCCCTGCACTTGAGGCTGTAAGGGTGTCAGGGTGTGGGTCTGTGCATGAGTGGGACTCTGGCAGTCGCTGAGGAAGATGCCTGAGGGGGTCCACTCATGAATGTGATTAAGCCCATGTGATCGCAGGGACAGCTCCTCTGGTCATGCTAGGCAAGACCACATACCCATTCAGTCCTGCCGTGTCCCAGGCTGGTCACTCACCTGGATCCGTCCTGCAGGTTTCTGGGGGCCCCGGGGCCCCACACGGGGCTGGGGGCAGGTGCCGCTCAGGCCTCCGGGGTCCGCCCTGCCCGAGTAGGGGAGGACAAGGTGAGAAGTTTGTCTGGGGTGGGGCTCAGTCCGATACCTCACCCCAACTTGGACTTCAGTCAGCCCCCTCCATCTTGGGCTCCCTGATGACAGTCCTAGTTGTCCTAGCAACTGTTACCAGGGAGATCAGCCACCTGGTTCCAAGGGCCCAGGAAGAAGTAGGTATGTTTGGGGGGCATATGTTGGGGATGTGCTGGCCTCAGGAGAGCCTCACTGCCCAAGGGAATGCTATGAGAGTGGCCTTGCCCTCTAGATGCATGTCCAGGGCTATACACGTATGCAGCCAGCTGTATGTATCCATGTATCTACAGGTGTCCCTAGCATCCGGCAACAGCCCTATATACTTGGTTACACAGAGATGCAATCACAGCTACATACCTTAGATCGCAGATACACAGAAACAGTCACAACCCCAGAAAGCTGCCACCGTAAACATCTGGCCACATATTCATGTTCAGACACACATAGTCTCTACTACAGACATCTGTCCACATACATGTAGCACGTCCCAGCCCACTTAGTCCCCACCACAGACACCTGCTCACACCACCCACTGAAATCTGGTCACTTTCATCCACATTCTCAGCCATATACAAATAACGGGGCCCAGACACACCCACTAGAGCCGCACATGCACGGCCACACCCAGTGACAGCTATGTTTCCTCAGGCACCTGTCCAAGATACTGATGTCACAGGCCCACCCAGATAGAATCACACCCAGAGTTCACCCATTTGGTGACCCAGTCCCACACAACACAATCGCAGCTATACACACTTGTCACATGTGTCTCCACTGCTGCACACTGACATCTGGTCACAGATGCACACGGACAGGCACACATTTGGTCCCACGGAGACCACACGCAGGCACAGCTGCACGTGGACATGCAGCCTCAACCAGACCAGTCACACCAACACTCTGTTTTTGGTCACACACTGTCACATGATCACACATACCCAGTCATAGGTGCTCACATCTGGTCACAGCATCAGTCACACAGTCTACTGTGACAGCCATACTCATAGGGACAGTCCTCTATACACAACCACACACGGAGGTACTGATGGCCACAGCACGCAACCACCCACAAACAACTATCCCCAAGAATGGCCACCCTCAAGACACAGCCATGGTGGTCCTGTAGACATGGCCACAGCATCAATGTCCACATGACCCAGCCACCTATCATGGTCATAATCCCGTCACCCAGTGTCCCATACACAGCTGTACCATGTCACTCCAACACAGTGAAACATATAGCCTTTTTTCATGCAGGCACACAAGTCACAGAGACAAGTATGTGGCCACACAGAATCACAGCCCCGTGTGGACAGGTGCACAAAGTCATAAGCCCCACCTATACACATGTCTCACACATAGAGACAAAAGCGCACAGTTTTAGTTTCCCACGTCACAAGTACACAGTCCAGCGTAGGCACAGAAATGCAGTGACCAGGACGTGGCATTTATAGTTGGGTTTACACAGAAGACACGGGTCCTGATGGAGCCATGTGCACAGTCAGGGGCCAATCTCATCACCAAATCATACATTCAAACACAGGTAGTCCAGCACATACACACAGAGACAAAAACAGGCACACAACTACAGACCCCAAACTCTCACAGGTGATGACATAGACACAAACATCTATAGTCACCCAGGGTCACAGACATGCAGGTCATACACAGTCATATGGAAGCCACAGTCACATAAACACCCCTACAAACATAATTTCCTGGCACCAATACGGAAACACATCCATAGCTTTAGTCACACACAAATAATCCTTTTAAATAGCCAGGGTTTCAGACACCTAGTCAAATACATAACCCAAATCACACATACAAGGCTAGAAATACATATAATCACTCATTATCACACACACAGCCAGATACAGTCATTTATATTAATACAACCCCAGTCACACACTCAGACATGGTTCTGCATACGCAACCACTGTCATACACAATACTGTCACACAACCCCAGGCACATAGACACAATGTGACTTCAGATACAATGGCAGTCACACCGGCAGAGTTGCACAGACAGGTGTGTGTCACTCATGTGTATAAAATCAGGTAGAGACACAACTATAAACATTGTCAGTCACTGGGAGGGTCACACATGCACATGGAGCCATAGACAACTCCACTCACACACACAGTCACAACTCCACCCACATCCTGTCAGTCACACGCATGCCCACCCCCAGACTCAACACATACTGTCACATACCCAGTTATAGTTACCGAGGCATACAAACAGGGTCACAAAAGACATAATCACAGACAACCACAGTCACAACCATGCACACCTCCAAACACAGTCAGACTAAAAAGTACAGGATTCTGCATAGTAAGCAGCTGTCACACACACATACACAGTCAAATACTAGGGTCACACACAGACACAATCATAGACACCACCACAAGCACACACACAGGATTCCTGTCACCAGCTGCAGCGTACGCGTGCACACACACACACACAGCCACAGCCACACAAACACAGGGCACACTCCTAGCCACCTCCCCATTGCTTGCTTCCCCCCTTCCCCCCAGGTACCACACACAAAGCCGCCGTCACCGTCACCGCAGACGCTGCAGACAGACAGGGCTGCACCCGGTCCCTGGGGAGCCGCCCCCAGCCCAGCCTGTATGCTGGAGCCTGAGGGGCCAGGTCCGGGAGGGGGAGGCGGTGCATTGTCTGCGGGTGGGGCCACTCTTGGACAGCTGGGCAACCCTGGGGACAAAGGGGGTGGCCCAGGGGTTCTGTGCCCTGGGACCCTTGACCAAGCCAGGGGGTGGAGGGATTGGGGGTTGCCTGAAATTGTCCTTATTTTATTCAGGCTGGGGTGGGGTGGAGTCCCAGGCACGGGACCTTGTTTTGAGAAGGGGCTGTGCCTGGGACACCGCCCAAGGATTGGGGGGATGCTGTGCCCAGGGTGCCTCTGAGGCCTGGGGGCAGGCTGTGCTTGGAGTCCCCCCATGCCTTGGCGTGGTGGGAAAGCTGTACGCAGTGACCCCATCCTTGAGACCGTGCCTAGGGAGTTGTTGTGCTGAGACCCCCTTAGGCAGGGAGAGGTAGGGATTGTGTCTGGAATCACCTCCTGGAGGCCTTGGTTTGATACGGGGGCTGTATCCCCGACCCCATCTCCATCCCCATCTAGTTCCAGGAGTTGTACCTAGAATCTCTGTACCCCTGTCCTTGATTTTGTGGGAGGTCTGTGTCCAGGATCCCTATTTCCAGGGCCTTGGCAAGAGATGGCCCAGGGGTCTGTGCCCAAGACCCTGGTCTCCTGGGCTTTGGCTTGTTGGGCCTGTTCCTGGACCCCCACCCAGGACCACCCTCTCCAGCCTTGGCACCCTCTCTCCATCCGGGCGCCGCGGCCGCCTCCCACCCTCCGCCACATCAGCAGCGGCGCCGCCCCCGACCCGAGCCCCCCTCTCCCGCCCTTCTCACGCTGGCCGCCGCGCTGCGGGACATCCAGGGCCCGGGCGCCCCCGCCTCCCGCGGCCCTGGCTGGGCCCGGCTCCCCGACTGCTGCTGCTGCTGCTGCTGCTGCTGCTGCTGCTGCTGCGGTGGCGGCGGCGGCAGCTCGGTCTGACGCGGGCCAGGGCCCGGGGCCGGGGGATGGTGCGGGATGCACGCGCGCGAGCCTGCTCGGCTCCCGGGAGGATTCCGTTCCGGGGGCGGGGAAGCGTCCCTCGGCCTCGGCTCCCCGCCCCGGCCCCGCCCATTGGCCCGCCGCCTGCCGTATATGCAGAAAGACCCCGCCCCGCCCCGGCGCCTTGCCGGCCCTGCCCCGCCCCTTGGCCTGCAGACCCCGCCCCCACGCAGACACCACCCCGCCTTCCCCGGCGCGGCCACCGCCCCGCCACGCCCATTGGCCAGTCCCGGGCTGAGCATGCCAATGAACATCGCCGAGTCGTTCCCCCGGTCCATCGGGCCTGGACTCCCTTCCCCTCCGTGACCCCTGACCTCAGATCCCCTCCAGCTCCGCGTCCGGAAGAGTTGCTTCTGGAGGTGCCTTGCCGCCCCACACCCCCAAATCTTCCCGCTAACCCCATGGTTCCCCAGCCCGGCGGGGGCGGGCAGAAGCGGTGACGAGGCACTTTTTGCAAGCAAGGGGAGGGGGTGTGAACAGACCAAGGCGTCCTGGTGCGCGATCGGTTCGGCTTTGGGAATGGGGGCGCCGGGCTGGGACCAGGGCGCGGTTCTGGCTGCTGCGGCGCCGCCGCCGCCCCCTACGCCAATCCTGTGGGTTTGGCAAAGCAGCTGGCAGGGACATTAGAGCCCATTAGTAAAGGCGAGGTTGCCGGGAGCGAGGGGAGGGAGCCTCCAGCCAAGAGGCACTGTGTGTGGGGGAGGCCTCAGCTGCCACAGCCCTTAGAGCAGGTGGTCAGCACGTGGGGGGGTGGGGAAGGCGAGAAGGAGGTTCCCGGCAACAGATGGCACAGGCAGGGCTGGGGCTTTCAGACAAGGGGGTGGAGGGGGCTGGCCATCTGCACCTGGAGGCCGCTGGCGAGCTCCTCCCCCTCTCCCCGGAACCCTAGCGCAGAGAAAAGAGCTGGGGGAAGGGGAGGGTTGCTTTTATTCCGACTGAAGGTTCAGCTCCCCCCTCCCCCCGCACCCCTACCTCTCCAACACACTGAGAGGCTGGAACCCGGGAGAAGGCAGCTGTTGGAAGAGCGAGGGAGGCAGAGGTGAGGACTGCCTCCAGGACCACCATCTCGCCTTCCACGGCAGACTTGAGGCAGAAGTGAGGGCTCCCCCTGATGAGTCCGGATCTGAAAACGGCATGCAGGGGCACAAGGCTCCCTCAAATGTTGGCACAGATAAGTTAACTGCTTCCCTGGCTTAGAGTTCCCAGATGCCCACTTTGGAGTGGGGAGGTGCAGGATCTAGGGCACGAAGTTGGGAGTTCCCCAGCCCCAGGGATCCTGAGCTCCTGGGCCAAGGAGGAGAGCCAGGCAAGACTGGGAAGCCCAGGGGGCTCCCCTGACCCAGGGCAGACGGGGAAGGGCTAAGAGGCACTACAGCAGGGTATGGCCTGCTTTGGGGACTGAATCTCCCATGGAGGCTGTCATGAGGGATCTGCCCAGGAGTCTCCTTTGGTGGGGAGGCTGCCGGCAGTGGCTGCGTCTGCCTGGCGACTGGCCCAGTAGCGGTGGTAGGTGTCCTGGAAGAGGTCCCTGCAGGCGATGTGAGCTTGGAGGCGGGCACAGGCCAGGAAAGCCCCTGCCAGCTTGCGGTGCAGGGCATAGGTCTCCTCGGGTGGGGGGCGCAGCCGGTGCCGCAGCAGCACCGGGATGAGGTCCTGGATGCGGCGGGCAGTTTCCCCCGACCCAAAGTCATAAGGGCCCTGGGTGGCGAAGGGCTCCCCCAGGATCATCACTGCCTCCACGTGGGCGTCGGAGAATGCCTGGGGGTCGGGTGGCGGGGGGGACAGCAAAGGCAGCCAGTGTGGACATAGAGCTCTCTGTATAACCCAGAAGCAACATGTAGCCTCCACTCCCTCCAGTCTCCACCATCAACACAAGCCCGGACTCCCCCAAGAGTGAGCAGCTTCCGCTCCTTCTAGAACCTGGACTAGACAAGCAGCTCCCTATTCCCTGAGTAAGCACCCCTCGCTTCCCCGCAGAGCCTCCAACAGACAAGTCACCCTCTACTCTCTCTACAATAGAGAAGCGGCCCCTGCCCCTCCTGAACAGATCCACAGTGCCCATGTTCCCAGGGTTCCTGAGGAGTCAGGCCGCCGCCTCCCCCCACTCCTCCCACTCCTCCCCAAAGCCCCCAGCAAGAATAAGCATCCATCCTAGAGTCCCCCACTGCCTGGGTATAGACAGAGAGCCTCCATTCTCCCTAGTAGAGACAAGCCCCTCCTAAAGCCCCCAGTCCCCAGGTATAGACATGCCCCATACCCCACTCGCGTTCCTCAGTGGAGATAAGCAGCCCCCCAGTGTACCCCACCAACAGACACCCGTCTCTTTCTCCTGCAGTGTCTCCCCACCTTGGTTTCAAAGCCTGTGAGGAATTTGAGGTCCCTGGACTTCTGTAGGACACGGTCTCTGTCTCCGTCAGCTGCAGCCTTCACCACCTGGGGAGACGGGTGGGAGTTAGAGGGACAAAGGCCGGGGCTCAAGGGGCCTCTGAAGAAGAGGAGCTGGAAGCCTGGGCCTCCCGTGTACCCACCTCCATTCTCATCTGCCTGGGCCCTCCGTCACCTGGAAGCTTCCTGCTCCCCACTCTGCCGGTCTGTGACTCCCTTAAAGACTATTCCAGAGCCTGGAGTGGAGGTGGGCAGGGATCCTGCCCGCCTAGCTGGCAATGTGGGGCCTGCCCGGGAACTGCCACAGTGAAACAGTGCAAGGAACACGTGTCAGGGCTGCTGGTGGGTCCAAACACTCAACTGGACAGGTGTGGGCGTGACCCAGAACTGCATCCAAAGTTGCCAGGGGCTACCTCTCTGTCTCCCGCACTGGACTTTAAGCCCTGTGAGAGCAAGGATCCCAGTTGGGTGTAGTCGCGTGGGGCACAGGGTCTGGTGCTCAGGAGGCCCTGGGTGAACCTTGCTTTAGCAAATGAGTGTGTGGAGCAGAGCAGCTCTCCAGCCATAAGCTCATACATACAGGGCAGGAGTTGTGGGCATGGACAGACACCCAGCTGGGGCCAGCTGGCTAGGGCTCCATCCCAGCTCTGCCACCTGCCGGCCTGTTGGGCCTCCACTTTCTCATCTGTGAAGTGGGGATGCTAAAAGTGTCTTCCTCATGGGGCTGTTGGGAGGATAAAGAAGGTGATGCCTGTGGAATGCCTGGCGCTGTGTCTCATGCAGGAAGCACCGAAAATATCATAATCTACCATTATTAAGAGGTGGGCACGGGGGTCCCAATTTCACAGAAGGGGAAGCAGACCCGGAGTAGGGACTGGAACCTGGGTCACACCCCTCACCACTGGGTTGCCCGTTTTTGTAAGGAGAGGGGTTCGGGATTAATTCCATTCCCTCTCTGCTCCCCCTGCCCAAGCCTGTCTGGCCATCTGTCAGGCCTGTGGTCCTCAGAAGCCGGTGTGATGGGGCTTTTATAAACTGGCAAAGGCTGAGGCCTGGGTAGGAGGGGAGGGTGTCAGTGGGGAGCAAAATGTCCCAGCTACCCGAAGGGCCTTGGCTTTGTGCCTCAGTGGCCCGCGGAGAGGGCCCCAATGGGCCCGTGTGTAAGGGGTTATCACCTCCTCTTCCTGTTCCCATCTCAGAGGTGGCCCCCCCAGTCCCCAGGCCAAATCCCTGGACACCTCCATCGCTGACTTCCAGCCTGTCTGCTCCCATGGATTACCAGCTGGGCATCTCCCAGCCACCCCTCTGCCCCTCTCCACAGCTGCCCCGGGCTCCCAGCCCCCAGGTTTAGAGACCACTTCTTATTCAGAGGGAGTTTTCAAATTCTAACTGCATCCTTTCCCTGCTCAAATCTTTTTCCACGGCTCTGCAGGGCACCTGGATACAGTACGAGCTGCAGAGCGCGGCCTCCAAAATCCACAGTGATTTGCTGCACCCTCGTCACTGGCTCCTGTGCTGCTCCCCCACCTGCCCTCCCAGTCAGAATGGGAGCTTCCTTTGGGTCCTCTAGGGCCTTACTACTACAAGTGTGGTCCCCATACGGGTAGCCTTGGCATCACGTGGGCGCGTGTCAGAACACAGCGTCTTACACCCACCTCCAGACCAGAATCTTCACCTGCACAGGATCGCCAGGCTTCACAGGCACATCCAAGTCTGAGAAGTGCTGCTCTAATGGGAATATCCCTTATCACCGCCTGGCCTTGGCACATGTTGTCTATCTGGAATACCCTCCGAGCCTTTTCCCAATTGGGCCACCTCATCCCTTAGGTCTCAACGCTGACAATCCCTCCTCCAGGAAGCCCTCCCTGGCTCCCCAGGCTGGGTCAGGCTCCTCCTCTGGGTTCACAGTCCCCTGTGCTTCCCCCATCCCAGCCTTATCCATGCTGGGTCCTCACTGTCCCCTCTCTGGACCATGAGTTCTGTGAGGAGGGGCCTAGGCTGGTCCCAGGTCACTGCTGTGTCTCCAGCTTTGCCTAGAACACAGCTGGGCACAGAGAGGGGTCAGAAAACATTTAGATTGGCTGGGCAGGGGGGCTCATGCCTGTAATCCCAGCACTGTGGGAGGCCAAGGCAGGAGGATCACCTGAGGTCAGGAGTTCGAGACCAGCCTGGGCAACATGGTGAAACCCCATCTCTACTAAAAATACAAAAATTAGCCGGGCATGGTGGTATGCGCCTGTAATCCCAGCTACTCGAGAAGCTGAGGCAGGAGAATCGCTTGAACACAGGAGGTGGAGGTTGTGGTGAGCTAAGATCGCGCCACTGTACTCCAGCCTGGGCGACAGAGCAAGACTCTGTCTCAATTAAGAAAAGAAAAGAAAAGAAAAGAAAACATTTAGATTGATGGCTACATGATTAGAGGACCCAGGGCAAATGTCTAATCTCAACAATTAAGGAAATGGTGTTCTCTGCAGCCTCCAAGACAAACTGACCCCAGTGGGTGGGAGAGACGAGCAAAGTACGTGAGGAAGCGCCTCCTGTAGACAGTTGGCCCCAGGGACACACACCTGGGCTGGACACCAGGGCCCTGGACAGCGTGGGGTCTGGAGAGGTGACAAGATGGTCACTGTGGGCCTTCCTCTTAGGAGGGAGCTGGGCAGTGGTTGGAAGCTTGGACTCTGGACCTGGACTACCTGAATTTGAATCCCAAGTCTGCTGTGATCTTGGGGAGGTGACTTAATCTCTCTAGGACCTAGTTACTTCATCTGTAAAATGGGCCTAAAAATGGTCCTTACCGCATTGCGTTGCTGTGTGGTTTAAATCCGTTACTATACGTAAGTACTAAAGATGGAGCCTGACATATTAAGTGCTTGGTGTGTGCTAGTTGCTACAAGTATTACTATTATTTGTTATTTCTTAATTCCAGAAACTGCATTTCTCCTTCTTACTCCTCTGCCTCAGTATATGGCCTGAGCCTCAGCCTTTCAGAGGCTCTGGGGTCTGGGGGAGACTCACCTCGATGTAATGGTCTGTGAACTCTGTCCCAAACTCCCGGCTTGCACCAAAGTCCAGCAGGGTCACCTGGAAGCAAGGAATGGTGAAAGGAATGCTGGGATCCCAGTCACACGCCCACCGTCTATTGGGGCAGCCAGGATCTGTCTTCCTCCCCATGACCTTGCCCGCTCCTGCCAGAGTCCCTGCCTGGCTGCCTGACTGGGCTCCTGGCCTCATCTCCACATTTCCAGCCCACCCCCAGAAGGTAGCTGAAGGCTTTTATTATTTATGCAATAACAAATTTTAGACCCAGAAAAAAAATCAAGAGCATAATAAAATATACAGAAAAGTAAAATGAATACCCACAAATCCCACCACCCAGCACTCAGCCTAAAATATAAAATACTCCCCATCTGTCTGGGCGTGGTGGTTCACGCCTGTAATCCCAGCACTTTGGGAGGCCGAGGTGGGTGGATCATGAGGTCAGGAGTTCAAGACTAGCATGGCCAAGATGGTGAAACCTCATCTCTACTAGAAATACAAAAAATTAGCTAGGCATGGTGGTGGGCACCAGCTACTTGGGAGGCTGAGGTGGGAGAATCGCTTGAACCTGGGAGGTGGAGGTTACGGTGAGCTGAGATCGCGCCATTACACTCTAGCCTGGGCAACAAGAGACAAACTCTGTCTCAAAAAAAAAAAAAAAAAAAAAGTGCTGTTGAAAACCAATAAATTGATGTCAGGACTCCTATCACTTGGAGTTGAGTAAACATATCTCTGGGGTATGAGCCTAGGAGGGGACACGGTGTATGCACATTGTGGAGAAAGAAGGGGCAAAGGCCTGGGGCAGGAGACTCAGTGGAGCCACAAGATGCTCGGCAAAGGGTTCAGACTTGATTCTGAGGGGGCTGTGAAGCTGTGGGGGGGATATCTTGACCAGATTTGTGCTTTAGAAAGACCCCTCTGGGGACAAAATGGAGATAGACCACTTTGGAAAACCAGCTGGCAATCCCTGATAAAGGTAATGATGTATCCACCAACACTCAAGCCTGCAGGTCCAAACCTTCCCTCCAGGTCTTTGTACGACCCCTGCCCTCTGCTGGGAACACTCTGCTCTCTGGATGGTTGTCTCCTTCTCCCCTGTCCCGTCTCAGCTTTTTTTTTAAAATAGAGTCGGGGGTCTCCCTTTGTTGCCCAGGCTGGTTTTAAATTCCTGGCCTCAAGGGATCCTCCTGCCTCAGCCTTCCGAAGTGCTGGAATTACAGGCATAAGCCACCATGCTTAACTCTGGTCTCAGCCTTTTTTTTTTTTTTTTTTTGTGAGACAGTCTTGCTCTGTCACCCAGGTTGGAGTGCAGTGGCACGATCTTGGCTCACTGCAGCCTCGACCTCCTGGGCTCAAGCATTCCTCCCACCTCAGCCTCCCAGTGGTCCCAGCTTTCATGGCGCTTGCTTTAAGAAGCCTCCCTTAATCCCTGCTCACCCCACAGTGAGTCAGGCACGTTCCCTGGGATCCCATAGCTTGCTGTGCCTCCCCCAACTCCAGCCCCCACCCCTCTGCCTGTGCCTCCCCCATCCAGGTCCTGACCCATCTGGCCTGTGCTCCTCATTGTGGTTGGTACGAACCACTCTAGGTGATCACTGTGTGGTGCCAGGCCCCCCGCACTGGACTGGGCACTCTGAGAAGGCAAGGGTCAGGGATGTCTTTTTATTGCTATCAAGAGGCAGGGGCAGGTGATGGCGTGTTCTGTATGGATGACGAGTGTGGTAGCGATGGCTAACTGCCTTCCAAAAGCTGTACTTCCCCTCTGTGCTGTCACATTGCCACCGGGAACCACTGCCTAGCCAGGGACTCCATTTTCTAGCATGCCTTGCACCTAGGCAGGCCATGTGTCCAGCTCTCACTGATGGAATGGCAACGGAAGTGGTATGTCCATTGCCCTAGAATGAGCTTAGTGTATTTAGCCTGGGCATTACTTTTTCCACTCCTGGCCAAAGCAGTTAGGCAGGGGGCTACCCTCTCAATCTCTCTTACCCTTTCCTTGGGAAGCAGAGCATTGTGAGGCTCCAGGGATGGCAAAACTATAAAAGGGAAGGAGCCGGGTCCCTGAATCGCCACTTAGAAAAGGGCCACCCCTGCCTGTTGTCGGGGTAATCAACTGCTATTGTGTTGAGCTACCGAAATATCAAGGAATAGTCATTACAACAGCAAATGTACCCTGACACACATCACTAGGAACCAACCTGGTGGCTGGAGGCATCATATAGGAAGTTGGCCCAGTTGGGGTCCGTCTGCATGAATCGGAACTCAAACAGCTCCCGCAGACACAGCGTCAGAAGCTGGAAGCAAATCTGGGGTGGGGAGGAGTAGCAGGCATCTTAGTGTGATCTCCCCTGTGGCACCCTCGCTGGCCTGGAGAGGGACCATGAGCCTGGCCCACCCGCCCTGGGGCCATGCCCTTCCCACTGTGCTACCAGATGGCATACCTGGTTCCGCAGGTCCTGGCTCAGGCCCTGGCACTGGTCCAGGGGGACTCCTCCGGCCAGCTCCATGCCCAGCACCCGTGTCGTGCACAGCTCCTTAACCACAGCTGGCACCCGGAAGAAGGGGTCATTTGCCAGCAGCTGCCTGGGGCAGGAGGGAAGGGAGGAAGGGAACTTCGTGCTTCAGGCTTGTGACCCAGCTTGAGGCCTCCTCCTTGCGCTCTCAGAAGTCCTCCATGAACAGTAGGGGCCATGCCCTCCCTCCTGCCCATCTCTTGCCGCTGTCTGCCCTGGGTGATGACCAACACCTGGCTGGACTGAGATTTAACAAGTATCTCCAAGGTGCCTACTCTGCACCTGTCCCTAAACTGGGTGCTGTTGGAAACCCAGTTACCACTTCCCTACCTGAAACCCTTCTATGACTTCTGGTTGCCCCAGAAGGATGAGTTCAGGTGTATTTCAGCCTTTGCATTACTTTTTTCATTAATTTATTAATTCATTCATCCCCATAGTAGTCACTAGTATCAAAATCTGTGAAGTCTATAGTGATACCCATGGGTCACTCCTTGCAATCACTACTCTGAACACAGGTAAACAACAGGAAAGAATCCTCTGTGTCCATCCCTGTGCTAAATGATGCTGGGGACAGAGCAGTGAATGAACCAGTCCCTGGACCTGGCCCCCAACCCCGAGACCACACTCTCACAAGCAGACGGATTATAGATTGAGGTAAGTGTGTTAGCTGGGTGCGGTGGCTTACACCTGTAATCCCAGCAGTTTCAGACACCGAGGTGGGAGAATCGCTTGAGCCCAGGATTCAAGATCAGCCTGGGCAACATGGTGAAACCACGTCTTTACGAAAAACTACAAAAATCAGCTGGGCACGGTGGCCTGCACCTGTGGTCCCAGCTACTCAGGAGGCTGAGGTGGGAGAATCACTTGAGCCTGGAAGGTCGAGGCTGGAGTGAGCTGTGATCTCACCACTATATTCCAGCCTGGAAAACAGAGCGAGACTCTGTCTCAAAAGAAATAAAATAAGTATGTCCATGTAAGATTTGGGAGGCAGAGAATATGAGCGAGGCCTCTGGTTGACGACCCATGGGATGGCTGGAGGAAAGTGAGGGGGAACAGGAGGGTGGTGTGGGGTTTTACCCTAAGGGCACCGGGGAATCCTGTGGGGATGGGGGGTCTCTGGCCCATCACCCCACTTCACACTCTCCTCAAACTCCTCCTTTGGGGTTTGTATTTTTGTCCTTGTTGATAAAAATCTCTGAACTGCTCCTCATGAACCAGAGCCATACTGGGCATTTAATTGGCACACTCCCCTTTCATCCTCACTCCACAGTGAGTGGATGCTCTCTGGAGACTACTGTACAGATTGTATGGATGCAGGCCATGCAACCCAGTAAGGGCTGACCCAGGATTTCATTCCGCATCTGAGTCTAGAGTATGTGCTTCTAACCACTGCCTTCTACTGATCTTTCACTCTCTGTCTACAGAGCTTGGCACGTTTTAGGCTGTCAATAAATGTGTGAGCCACACTGTGGAGGATCCCACTGAGGTGCCATTAATTGCTACACATCGGGATGTCTCCAAGATATAACCACATTATTCCACATAGCCATGGTTCATGCATTTTCACTGCTATGAAATATTCCACAGATGAATACAGCATTGCTTCTTTGTCCACCCTGCTGGATAAACTTGATGGATATGGGTTGTTTCCAGTTTGGGGCTGTTGCAGACAGAGCTGCTGTGAGCATTCTAGAATAGTCTGATGGTGTATACTGGCATAAGGGTCCCTAGAGTGTTCAGCAGGGAGGGCAATCGTTGGCTTGCAGAGTTCGTGAATATAAGGGCTTATGTGATGATGCCAACCTATTCTCAAAATGCTTCTACCACCTTCTCCCCCAACCCGCGGTGCAGAAGGGATGCTGTGGAGCCCACTCTCTCCACCTCCCAGTGCTATGGGCTCCTTGGTCTCCGTCAGTCCAGCGGAGGTAAGAGTGTGTCATCGCGTAATTAAGTGCCTGTGTCGGACCACAGTGGGTATGTGGCCCATCTCACAGAGAAGACTGCCGCTTGGGAAGTGACCTGCCCAAGCTCACAGAGGACAAAGGGAGTAAGCGAAGTGATGGATGAGTGGACGGATGGATGACCAATGATTGAAAGAGAGAGTTTGCCCCACCCCACAGCTCCAGCTGCCAGAAGCTGAGGGGGCAGCTACTTCTCAACTAGCCTGGGAGGGAAGGAAGGAGGGAAGCCCAGGGGACTCAGCTCACCTGAAATTCTGGGCACAAGCTGCCTCACGACGGTAGTCACACTCCCAAGCCAGCTCCTGCTGCAAGGCCTGCAGGCTCTGCTCAGCAAATAAGCCTGCGGGGGAGGC